GTCTTTCTTGTGAATTCCCCATCACCCTTCCTCAGTCTGATTACCTGGTCCTTGACTTGTTGTTTTCCTCCTGATGTGGCTGTAAACAACAGCTTGGGGTCAGTCTTTACTTTTGATGCTATGTCATTTTCATATTGTCTCTGAGCCTCCCTTCTTAGCTGTGCATATTCGTTTCTGGCTCTTCGGTTGATTTCTTTATTTTCCTGAGTTCTCTGTCTTCTGTACCTTTTCCATTCTCTAGTACACCTAGTTTTTGCCTCCCTACACCTTTGGGTGAACCAAGGACTCGTTCTGTTCTTCCCATTATTTCTGTTTCCCTTGGGAACAAACCTCTCCTCTGCCTCCTTGCATTTTGTTGCCACACAGTCCATCATTTCTTGTACTGGTTTTCCTGTGAGTTCCCTCTCCCACTGAATGTCTTGAAGGAAGTTCCTCATGCCTGAGTAGTTCCCCCTTCTGTAGTTTGGCTTTTCCCAGCCTATTCCTGCTACTCTCTCCACTTGGAGCTCAACTATGTAGTCGAAGCACAGAACCACATGATCACTAGCTCCCAGGGGCCTTTCATACATGATGTGTGTGTGTGTGTGTGTGTGTGTGTGTGTGTGTGTGTGTGTGTGTGTGTGTGTGTGTGTGTGTGTGTGTGTGTGTGTGTGTGTGTGTGTGTGTGTACTCACCTAGTTGAGGTTGCGGGGGTCGAGTCCGAGCTCCTGGCCCCGCCTCTTCACTGATCGCTACTAGGTCACTCTCTCTGAACCGTGAGCTTTATCATACCTCTGCTTAAAGCTATGTATGGATCCTGCCTCCACTACATCGCTTCCCAAACTATTCCACTTACTGACTACTCTGTGGCTGAAGAAATACTTCCTAACATCCCTGTGATTCATCTGTGTCTTCAACTTCCAACTGTGTCCCTTGTTACTGTGTCCAATCTCTGGAACATCCTGTCTTTGTCCACCTTGTCAATTCCTCTCAGTATTTTGTATGTCGTTATCATGTCCCCCCTATCTCTCCTGTCCTCCAGTGTCGTCAGGTTGATTTCCCTTAACCTCTCCTCGTAGGACATACCTCTTAGCTCTGGGACTAGTCTTGTTGCAAACCTTTGCACTTTCTCTAGTTTCTTTACGTGCTTGGCTAGGTGTGGGTTCCAAACTGGTGCCGCATACTCCAATATGGGCCTAACGTACACGGTGTACAGGGTCCTGAACGATTCCTTATTAAGATGTCGGAATGCTGTTCTGAGGTTTGCTAGTCGCCCATATGCTGCAGCAGTTATTTGATTGATGTGCGCTTCAGGAGATGTGCCTGGTGTTATACTCACCCCAAGATCTTTTTCCTTGAGTGAGGTTTGTAGTCTCTGGCCCCCTAGACTGTACTCCGTCTGCGGTCTTCTTTGCCCTTCCCCAATCTTCATGACTTTGCACTTGGTGGGATTGAACTCCAGGAGCCAATTGCTGGACCAGGTCTGCAGCCTGTCCAGATCCCTTTGTAGTTCTGCCTGTCTTCGATCGAGTGAATTCTTCTCATCAACTTCACGTCATCTGCAAACAGGGACACCTCAGAGTCTATTCCTTCCGTCATGTCGTTCACAAATACCAGAAACAGCACTGGTCCTAGGACTGACCCCTGTGGGACCCCGCTGGTCACAGGTGCCCACTCTGGCACCTCGCCACGTACCATGGCTCGCTGCTGTCTTCCTGACAAGTATTCCCTGATCCATTGTAGTGCCTTCCCTGTTATTCCTGCTTGGTCCTCCAGTTTTTGCACCAATCTCTTGTGTGGAACTGTGTCAAACGCCTTCTAGCAGTCCAAGAATATGCAATCCACCCACCCCTCTCTCTCTTGTCTTACCATGTCATAGAACTCCAGTAGGTTTGTGACACAGGATTTCCCGTCCCTGAAACCATGTTGGCTGCTGTTGATGAGATCATTCCTTTCTTGTGTGTGTGTGTGTGTGTTTGTTTTATGTGCTTGAATAAATCAGCTGACTTCACAGTTGCTGTTTGGGAGTTTCATCGATATTAAAGTCATTGCTACCGCTGTTATAATTACTGGGGCTTTAAGTGGAAGACATATTAACAGTGCTCAGCTAGCTGAAATCAAAAGGGGCAGAATTATATTTCTTTAAAAGTATGGAAAAGGTATGGAGTTACGGGGAGATAAGGTACATTTTTTTTTACCGTACTGCACAATGCGACAGAAAGGCGAAACGGTAGGAAATTACAGGACGATATAGCTGACAGAATACCGTACGGAACAGCCACCTTTCCTTCCCACTCATCCGCAATTCATCCTTTAATCTTGCACCTTTCTCGTTTCACACACTAACCCTTCTATATACCTTACGCCACAACGCATAGTTTTCAAGTGGGAGATATTTGCACAGTGCAGTGTGTCTAATGATAATGTGAGAAGAGAGTCCAATGCACTACTCACTGGGAGGTGGAGGAACATAGTGTGTGTTGGGCTGGTAGAGACCCATGCTCTTGATAGCTTCGTGGGAGCGTTTGGTCTGCATGTGTGGTCTTGAGGTCTGCCTGCAGCTGCTGGAAGAGGAGGCGGAAGAGGAGGAAGAGGGAGGTCGGCGAGTAGGACGAGAGCGTCCACCCAGTGCTTCATGGTGAGGGAGGGACTTGCCAGCACCAACCCAGCGCTCAATGTGTCGCTGGTGCTGCAGGTTCACTGCAGCCTCCTGCAACAATTCTGTTGAACCAACAAGAGAACTCATTTTAAATTAATTTTATTTTATTCAAGAGGAAGCGCTAAACACGTAATAATTATGTAGGTCCTGGGGAATGGGAAGCAATCAGGTACGATCCAAGAAAAGAAAGGATGCACCCTTAGTCCTTGATGGAAGAACTCCTTGTGATCCTTTGTCATTCCACAGATAGGTTATATATTAAAAATGGTCACAATGCACAACTGTTAATTATATATTCACAGCCGCTAGGAAAATGATAAAATGAATAATGAGAACTTTAAAAACAAGGAATGCCACACTAATGATGGTCCTCTAAGTCATTTGTTCTCTCTAGGCTGGAATACTGCAGATCTAGAGAATGTACAAGCACCTAAATTTCCGGGAACATTTGAACTCCTTCGACCTGTACTCGAAACGAAGACGACAATGAAACACTACAAATGACACATGGAAAATCTTAGAAGGGACTGGTCCCAAATATACACACATGAATCACTCCCTACGAAACCAGAGGCTCGGTAGACAGTGCCAAATAACTCCCAATGAAAAGCAGGAGTATCATGAATACCCTGAGAAGCACAATAAATGTAAGGGGCTCAAGGCTATTCAACAGCCTCTCACCATACAATAGGGGAAAATACTGATTGACCCTTTGCTATCTTCAAGAGGAAACTGGATAGATTCCCAAGGTCAGTTCCTGACCAGCCTCGCTAGGCTCCACATTACACTGCATGCTAGTGGCTTTCTTTTGTGCTTGATATTTTATTACATGTAAATTACATTTTATAATACTGCAGATAGAAATAAAGTTTGTTTTCGTTTATGTTGAACTGTGGGTAGCCAGCAGTAACAGCCGGGTTAATCAGACTGTGATCCATTAGGAGGCCTAGTTTCCAGCTATTTCATTCTCCTGTATGTGCTGACCACACGAGCGATTTTATATCAATGCATCACGCAGAAACAAGTGGAGGTATATACAAAGAAAGATCAGCAGGATTCAAACCCATGTATGGAGGGTGGCATAGCTCCCCCAAGTGACGTCTTAGTTTAGTTTAATATGGTTATTATGAGCCTCACACCCATCCTGTGGGCGGTAGTCAAAAGGTTACAGAGGTACATAATGGGTCCAGGGACTGGACCCTAAAGTTATGATAGCTGAACTAGTTACAAAGATAATGAACTCCAGGTAGATCTGGTCACAATCATGGCAAGTTACAAAGGTAATGAATCATCTACACTCTTATACATGTACATGGTTACAATCATGAACAAATTACAAAGTAATGAGCTACTGACACGTCCACGCCCGGTCACAATTGTAATGAGTTCAAATATTAAGTGGGTCATACACCCACACGAGCGCGCGCGCACACACACACACACACGAGGGTGCACGCAGACACATGCACACGAGCATACAAACATACACACACACACACACACACGCACACACACACACACACACACACACACACACACACACACACACACACACAGTAACAAGGGGACACAGTTGGAAGTTGAAGAAACAGATGAATCACAGGGATGTTAGGAAGTATTTCTTCAGCCACAGAGTAGTCAGTAAGTGGAATAGTTTGGGAAGCGGTGTAGTGGAGGCAGGATCCATGCATAGCTTTAAGCAGAGGTATGATAAAGCTCACGGTTCAGGGAGAGTGACCTAGTAGCGACCAGTGTAGAAGCGGGGCCAGGAGCTCGGAATCGACCCCTGCAACCTCAGCTAGGAGAGTACACACACACAGACACACACACACACACACACACACACACACACACACACACACACACACACACACACACACACACACACACACACACACACACACACACACAAGGTAACGCTTTATTTACAGCTTGCAAAGTCAGGGTATTTCTCCAGAATGGACTGTAATATACCACTGTGGATAAAATACTTTGCCATTTCTTGAACATTTCTGAATGTGTTGTCTCGAAATTCATTAATTTGATCGCACTCCAGTACATAATGACGCAGGGTGTGACAATAGTCCATCTGGCAAAGTTTACATTTCGTTTGGTCTACATCTGGTGGTGGTGATTTAACCTGCCAAAGTTACTTGTAACCCAGCCGGAGCCGGGCGGTAGTGACATCCAAGAGTCTGCTTATTTTGTTGGATGCACCGTAGACATGCGGCTCCTCCTGCATGATGGAATGATGATAGATGGACTGACTGGTGTCAATCTCCCTAAGTCTTAAGTTAATAAAGTTCATTTGAAGTTCTTTTTGTATTATTGTTCTCAAACTGCTAACTGACAACCCAAGATTGTAATCTACTCCCTCTTTGAAAGCATACAGCTTAGCCAGTTTATCAGTTCTATCATGCATCTGAAGACCAATGTGAGATGGAATCCACAGCATGTGCACTCTGACTCCACTGTCCACAATCTTACCATACCTGTGTCTGCCGTCTGACACAAGCATGCCACAATTTATACTTAATGAGTTGAGAACATTTATGGATGACAGAGAATCAGTTACAATTAAAGTGTCAACCTTAGATACATGGACGCATTTGAGTGCAAGGAGTATGGCAAACAGTTGTTTGAAGCTTAGACCCTCACCATGGCGAAAGCTTTTGTTTCACACAGTGAGGGTCCGGGTTCGATTCTCGGCAAAGGGTGAAACATTGGGCGTGTTTCCTTACACCGGTTGTCCATGTTCACCGATCAGTAAAAATGGGTACCTGAGTGTTAGTCGACTGGTGTGGGTCGCATCCTGGGACAAAAGTGACCTAATTTGCTCGAAATGCTCCGCATAACAAGCGGCTTTCTATGTAGTAGTATGTCATTGATGTCAGCTAGGCCTGTATACCTTGTACATGTATTTGTAGAAATAAAGATTATTATTATTATTATTATTATTATTATTATTATTATTTATTACATAAGCTACAGATGACTCAAAAAGCCAGTTAGTCTGGTTAAAAGACATTTCTTCCTAGCCCCGGACACACCAGTGAGCCTCAGGCATGGTTTCCAGCTATTTCACTCTCCTGTATGTGCTGGCCGCACAAGCTATTTTATATCAATGCATCACGCAGAAACAAGTGGAGGTATATACAGAGAAAGATCACAGTCAGTAGAATTCGATCCCATGTGAAGAGGGTAGCATAGCTCCCAAGTGATGTGTGTTCGGGATTGGTCAGAAACATGACTTGTAACCAGGCTTCCTAGGTTTTTGAGGCAACTGCAGTTTAGAGGTCTAAGACGTCACTTGAGGAACTAGGACACCCTCCACACATACCTGGAGAGGGTTTCGGGGGTCAACGCCCCCTCGGCCCGGTCTGAGACCAGTCCTAGTGGTGGATCAGAGTCTGATCAACAAGGCTGTTAGTGCTGGCCACATGCAAACTGACATACGAACCACAGTGAGGCTGGTCAGGTACTGACTTTAGGTGCCTGTCCAGCACCTTCTTGAAGACAGCCAGGGGTCTATTGGTAATCCCCCTTATGTATGCTGGGAGGTAGTTGGGCCCCTGACACTTATCAAGTATCTTTCTCGCCTGCGTTCCAGGGAATGCAAATCAATGGACTTCAATTATTTCCAGTATTATTATTATAATAAAAAAAGAAGCGCTAAGCCACAAGGGCTATACAGCATTATTTCCAATAATTTAGGTGATTTATCGTAGTTGTGTGTGCTGTGAAAATTCTTTGTACACTCTCCAGGTCAGCAATTTCGCCTGCCTTGAAGGGGGCAGTTAGTGTACAGCAGTGTTCCAGCCTAGAGAGAGCAAGCGATTTGAAGAGAATCATCATGGGATTGGCGTCCCTAGTTTTACAGGTTCTCATTATCCATCCTATCATTTTTCTAGCAGATGCGGTAGATACATTGTGGTCTTTGAAGGCGAGATCCTCTGACATTATCATTCCCACGTCCTTCACATTACTTTGTCGCTCTACTGTTATGGTTAGAATTTGTTGTATACCATGATACAGTTTTAATTTCCTAAAGTTTTTCAAATCTGAGTAGTTCAAATTTCTCTTCATTTAACTTCATATTGTTTTGAGTGACCCATTTGAAGATTTGGTTGATGTCAGCTTAGAGTCTCGCAATGTCTTCGATGGAGGTCACTGTCATGGCAATTTGGGTGTCATCTGCAGAGGATATGAGAATGAGGAATATGATGGGAGCGAGTACTGTGCCTTGTGGAACAGAGCTTTTCATCGTAGCTGCCTCAGATTTTACTCTGTTTACTATTACTTTTTGTGTTCTATTTGCTATGAAGTTATAGATCCATCTACCATTTTTTTCTGTTATTCCTTTATCACACATTTTGTGTGCTATTACACCATGGTCGCATTTGTCCAAGGCTTTCACAAAGTCTGTGTATACTACATCTGCATTTTGTTTATCCTCTACAGCAGGGCTACTCAACTACTATGAGCAAGGGTCCACTTGGACAAGTACCAATGCATGTAAAGGTCCGGTTACATTTTTTACACGAAGTCATGAAAAGCAAAAATCCGAGTATAGGGCACCAGGGTCGCCAGACTTCCCAGCCCATATGCGGCCAAACTCTTTTTCCAAAATGCCAAAAAAGTCAACTTCATTGCATAAGTGATAATTACCAATATGAATTACCATTGAATGGAAGAAAATATCACTATTCAATTCAATTCAATTCAATTCAAGTTTATTCTCTATAAGGGTTACAATGTGGGGTTTACAGGTTTTGGGTATTGTGTGGTTTACATGTTATAAAATACTAATTACAGAGGGGGTCACTAGGACACCTAGCATGGCTAGGCATTTCGAGCAGACTTAGATTAAATCTTAACATTAAATCCTTACAGATTATGGTATTAAGGCTAAGTGACTACATCATAATTTGTGAGTTTAGCAATGTGAATGCTTTTGTTTTGGCAAAATACAAAGTGTCTATATTGGAGTATCATAGGCAAACTTATGACTAGTTAGGGTTTATTATTTTAAGATTAAGATTAGTATTTCTGGGTTTATAGT